TGAACATTCCCTTGTAAAAACAACCTTCATGACAGTAGTGTCTCTGATATGTTCAGCTCTACTTTTACCTGTAAAAAATTTTGACTGGCCATAAATAACACTGCACATTTTATCTTTAAACTTCAGTTCTTTCTCCAAAATCAAAGGGAAACCAGTTTTGTAAAAGTCCAATCATATCTATGACAAACAAATGAGGATCAAAAAAAGTTAAAAGGAGGATGGAGTCATTTTTTTGCTCAAAAAACCTTTAATCACATAAAATCCAAAATGGTTCTGCCTAAAGAACAAACAAAATTAGTTTTAAAACATTCAACCCAGTAAACATTGGGGAAAGCACCTGTGAGTCTCAAGTTCAAGTCCAGACAGACACACCTGTAAAGTCCTATCTCTTATCAAATTACACAAGAGGTTTGGTCCATAGGGTAGACTGAGTCAGAACAATGGGGTTGATGAGAGCCCTGTATGGGGGCCCAGCCCACTACTTCAGAAGCAGGAATTTTAACAGGTTGGCTCAAAGTTTTGTTTTTAGTAAAGTTACTAAATATCTTGTATTGTTCTCATGTCTTTATGAATGAACAAGAAACTACAAGGGTCATTTCAAAACACATATCTGAGTAAAGATCAGTCCTATAATTGCAACAGTAGCTCCTGAGTCATGTGTATGACTCTCTGGGATACCTGAACAAGCAAACTGTTAGTATATTTAAGATATCTGATGGAGGGATGGCAAGAGCTGCCAATTCTTCTGACTATGATCCTTTCCCAACTTCACAACAGTGCAATTAAGAAGGGATCAAACAGAAGAGTTGGAGGTCTGGGGCATTTTCCCCACATTCTCCTGACATTCATAAAAGTGACCTAGAATATACTTTATAAAACTTACCCTACATCTGAGGTAAAGGGGAAAACTCAATATACTTAGCTTCAAAAATTAAACAGCTGAGAGAAATTATGATTTATCAGTAAGTCAAATTAAGTAGTTTCTTGCAGTAAAATGAAGAGAGCCTTTTAAAAATCCTGCAAGAGATAAGCCAGTCTCTCTCCTTAAGTTTTTCATTTCAAAAGCTATGTAACAGTGATAAGCAGTGCCACTCAGAAACTTAGCGATTAGTCAAGTCCTTAATTCTGGATGTGAACAATGAAAAAATCAAATTTCATCTACTTGTATGTAAATACAAACATGTGGGGGTAAGACAGTTATAATATGTATGGTTCTGTCAACCAGAAATCAAACTGTTGATTCCCTATGGTAAAAGGCACATGATGTAGGGCTGGGGTTGTGGCTCAGAGGTAGAGCGCCCGCCTAGCACGTTTGAGGCCCTGGGTTCGATCCTTAGCACCACATAAAAATAAATAAATAAAACAAAGGTATTGTGTCCAACTACAACTAAAAAATAATTTTTTTAAAAAAGGCATACAATGTAACTGAGCTATTCTTAAGTAATCAAAAACAAATTCCTACAGCATTTTCATAGCAACCCCAACTTAAAAAAAAATTCTGAAATGAGAACACAAATATCTCCCTTTCCCACATAAAAATTCACTCTTAAGGATCACAGAGAACCAGAAACAATGAAAGTTCTCAGCACCACACTGACCAGGTGGCTGCTGTGGTCTGAGGAGACTCAGCAGCAAGGGGGCTCAGCTTCCTGCATTCCCTCCTGAGCATGAGAGAAACATGAGGTTTTTCTTCTAAGGTGTTAACCATCTGGCTGCTAAGGGACAAATGGAAGTCAGACACCCAAGATGAACACCCATAGGACATTAAACCAATGGGAACTTTTGCTACATTAAAGCCAGGCAAGCTCACAAGGTGTTCAGGCACACAACTGCCAGGACCAACCTTGAGGATATAAAGACCTATTATTTTTTTCTTTTAATACTTTACCACTGGCCTACAGGGATTTTTCATAAATAAGGTTCAGAGGAAAAAAAGGTTTGGGAGTATGCTTTTAATAAACCTTCCAGGTTCCTCACTCTGAAATATTTAATAGGCCTCTGCATCATCCTTCTCTGCAGATAACCAACTTAAGTCAAAGTTTACTGTGCCTTGGAGCTCACAATGACACCAAATGTGTTGTCATAGGTGCTTTCTTAGGCTCAATTTAGCTGAATGAAGAATTCTTATTTAAAATTCCATAGAGACCCATTCATAAGATTTCTTATGCAGATGATCATATCCATAAGAATTCCAAGTCTAGAAAGAGGTAATCTGCCAATTAAAACTTCCCCTCAAAAGGATAAAAGCTGAATGGGTGAAGACAGTTCTCCTGAAAAGATAATGCAGTACGTAGGTCCCTGTGTGAGCATGCTTATGCCAGTGTTTGTCTGAAAAAGTGCAAAAGCAGATAGAATTGTTACAATGAGATTCCAGCAGAAACATTTCTGTATGTGCTAGTTGGTCATAGCTGGAATTCTCAGGATTACCTAGTTATATACAAACACAAGACTATGCAGAGAAGGGGTGGTCTGGTCCCTCCCCCACCCCCAGATGTTAACTCCAGTCTGAACAAGTCCAGGGAGCAGAAGCAGTAAACAAGCAGCTGTTTGTAATGCAAATTCAAGTCACAGAGATGCTCCCACCCTAAGTCCAAACACAAATGGTCACTCCATTCCTCACACTCTCCATGTAAGTCTGTCATTGTGGATGTCAGTGATACACTCAAGTCTTGATAGGGACAGAATTAAAGACCAAGAAGGCAGAGTGTGGTTGGGGGTAAAGAAGAGAGGCTACCTTCCCGTTAAAGTGTTCCTGATCTCAGACACATTAAAAACAGCTGTTAGGTATTAGGGACCGACAATTATAACTTTCATTGTACTCTGAAAAATAGATAAAAATCAATTTAGTCTGTGGTTTAAACTGAAAAGCTCTGGAAGTGGGCAAACTACAAAATATCTCAAGAAAATACGCCTAAAAAATACATTCTAATATGTAACAGATTAAGCAAAGCATGAGGTAACAGGGTAAGATAAGCCTTTCTTCATCATACTCTGTTTCTCTACCCTGTATCTATAGCCATTTATTTTGGCCACACATCTTTCCAAAGCAATGAATGACTGATTCACAGATCTTAAAATTTTAATATATACACTAACAAAAAAAATGCCTTCCATTCTATCAAAATTTTAAAATGATGAGTACTCTGGAGGATCAGGAGAAAAGTCTGCAGAGACGTAAGGCAGAATTCTCGATTAAAGAGGAAGAGATGCTTAACATACAATATTCTTAGGGACTGTTTACAAAGACCAATAAGTATTTATTATACTGACTTTTCAAAAATTATTGCTTGAAAGGAGAAGCAGCTGGTCTAAGGAATACATTTCAAAATATGTACTGTGTGCACAGATAAAATTCAGTGGCTATTTTCCATTATTATCAAGACTATAATTTGATTTGGAAACATTATTTGTTCTAAAAAGTCTTTAACAACAGAAATATTCAATAATTTGTTATCTAAGACATATTTTGTTTCCTTTCTACCCCTCCAAAACAAAAAGTGTGTGCAACTATAAAATAAATATCTGATATATTTGCACATCTAGTCCAACAGATATAAACTTCTACAACTTTCTGAAACTCAGAAGCATTTATTTGGGGCAGTCTCTAAGCGGTAAACTATATTTTTTATTAATTAATTCATTTTTAGGTAGAAAATTCCTATGTACTACACAGACATTAAATATTTGAAAAGCCTTTTAAAATAAAATACAAAACAGCTTTTTCCTATGGCAACCATCCCAAAATCGCCAAGATTACATCCCCAAAATCTCCATTTTAGCTGCAGTATTAAAATTAGAAAAATCTTATTCCAAGAGATAAAATATTCCTTGTGATATTTTTGCAGTGCCCATACAAAGTGATTATATTTCATATACCTTTCAGTTTACATTGAGGGCTACAGACAATGAAGACAATCACTACGCATGGTGTTAACAGTTGACTACCAGCCATTTCCCTCAGCTACTTTGGTGAACCTTCTCATTCTCTGATTCTGTCTACTGAGGCATTAATGCCATCAGTTTTCCCAGATGTTTGTGGCTGATTTTTTTCAGTTTGTAGAACCAATGGGAAAGATCTCAGGCTCCATTTTCAATGTAGATCTGGATATCAGGAGAGCCAGTGAGACTGAAACCCTAAGCCATATACATTAAGTGTCTTTCATTAGAGGTTGGGTAGTGGAGGGATAGTAGGACTGGAAAGAAAGTTTATATATTGATGGATCACTTAATAGTCCATGCCCACAACACACATCATGTTCACATACTATATAAGTTACTACTTAGATATTTTCTCATTACACAAATGAGACTTCCACTTTGCAAGAAAAGATAAATATCATTCAGTACCAAGCATGAAATTGTTCATAACATTATGCATTTGCATAATGCAGTTATAATGCCAATGCATTTTTAGAACTTCAAAAGTTAACCACAAGACAGAAGAAGAACTTTCATTAGGTAATCTTCAAATGATACTTCCTCAACAATTGACAATAAGGTAAAAATAGATTATCAGCCATTCACAAAATATATTAAAACTAATAGTTAATATAATAAGGCACTTTTAAAAGTCAAAGAAGCAATGTGAATGTCCAGCTCCAAATGAGCCTAAACCATTCTGATTCTAGATATCTTAAGAGCATCAACAGCTTTTCGGTCCTTGGCTAACTCAAAACACTGAATCAAATTTTCCTGTCCTCGGCACAGAAAGCACAATAATTATAAAATAGTAGATTTGTTGGTTTAACTTCATTTGATTTTGTAACATGTGATATGTTATTAATCTCAAACCAATAAGCCAAAAGCTAAAATTCCAAATGCAAGACATCAAACATGGCACTATTTTAAGGCAGCCAGTCCCTGTAACAGCTCTTATTGAGCAATGACTGGTCATATATAATGAAAGCATTTGCAATGTGTTTGAAAAAATAAACATTCTGCCAAAATACCAATTAATTTGCACTTCAGAAAATAATTTGCAACATCAGCATGTTACTCACTGTTCTCGGGATGGGTGGAGAAAGGGATCCATTTGACATGTATGGGTCGTTATTCATATTTGGCATCATTATGTAGCCAGAATAACTAGAGTAGGAGGGTCCCTTGTTGTAGAGGCCTCCATCTGGATGCTTTCCTGAGAGAATCCAAAGAACAATCAATGATGTATTGACTCCCTTTTTATAGCACAATATTTTTCATCAGAAAATCTAACAGTTCTAAGGCAAATCAGACTTTCCATAAAAGATTTGTTTATAAAATACTATAACTGGATTATTATGCTCTATTTTAGATTGACAGTATTTATTCTCTTAAATGAGTTAGCAGCAAACCAGATGTTTAAAAAACATATGTTTCAATTTACTTCCACAACTGACTGATGTTTTTATAATAATAAGTGTTATCCATCTAACTTAATTTGTTCTAATACTAACAAACTAGCCTAAGAAATACAGAAACATGAAGGAAAACACACAAACCTGAAACTGTGATGTATTAGACTATCTGTGTATATACATGTATATATTGATACACTTGAAGTTATCCTTTTTCTTTTAAGAAAATTCTATCTATGCTTCTAGATTTCTAGAAAATTTCTAGATTTTTGCTGAGGAAGAGAGTTGTATCTAGTATTTGAGCGATGAAAGGAGTAACTCTGGAAGGCTTAATTTTATGTGTTACACTTACATCATTCTACCAAAGAAATCTGTGTGTTCAATTTACAGATTTCTTCCTTTCAATTTGTACAACTATTTGTCACTGAGAAGAACCCTAATATGTAATTCTCAACCCTTCTTCTCCAGGTTAAAATACAGTATATATTTTAGATTCCATTCTGATCAGGCCAATTGTTAAGTAATTAAAGGACTTAAGTAATTAAAATGCAGACTGGGCAACAAGTAAACCCTACCTGTTATCTTATTCCTTTCCAAGTCACAGGAGCTGTCCTTAAATTTAAAATTATGTATATATATATATATATCTTTTAACAAGAATCAGAAATGGAGAGAAAGTCTATCCTATCTGCATAGTCCCTAGCTGTAAGTTTTATATTTTAAAAGCTAGATTCTGTTTTACTGAGTCATGTTCACTGTTCATTCCCTGCCTGCCTTCTCACTGTAACAAACTAGAAACAGCAATTTCGCAAGCAAAAATCCATTCAGAACTATTTTTGTTTAAAAGAAAAATCTATTATAAACCCTCCTCCTTTTTCAAGAATCTGGAAGCTAGTTGAAATCCGAAGGTCCATAACTCATTCAAAGATAGTTCTTAAATGATGTAATACACATTAGAGATAACCAGTAAGTTTCCTGGGTTTTCTTTCCTATTTTGTTATGATAGTGGGCATTAATAATCTTATCACACCTGGTCCTGGTCTCCTAAATGCAAAAGCAGCAAAACAAACTTATATACACAAACCACAGGTTCTATGATAAAGCTGGAGGAAGTAGAATTCAGTCTTACCATCATCAGGGTGTTCTCTGGCCTTGTCGTGGTAGGACTCCTGAGAGGTCTGTGCTTGTCTGGCCACCTAATAGCAATCCCCATCCCCAAAAGAAAGAAAATCACCTTAGAGTTTGTGATAGTGTGTCCAATGGAAACTCAAAGAAAGAGGTTTAGGTGCAATTCAATCTACCTGTTTTATTAATCTAAGGATAAGCTAGAGTTGGGTACTAGGGAGTCTTTTTCTTTCCAACATGTATTTTTGAGAGATTATTATCTTCTCGGGACCAAAAAGTAAAAAGAACAAAAATATAGTAAATTTGGGACCAACTCACAAGCTGTTCTGACAGCTGTTTATTAAAATCTGTCAAGGTTCCTGTATGCCTAATAGGAGAGGAGTCGGAGTTAATGGCGTTGATAGTTTTGATAGCCTCTTCAACCACTGTTCATTTCAATTAGAGCTGATTAAAGCAGGCTGAAATATCATTTTGCAACTGAAAATGGCATTTTTAATATGAACAAGTCAACCACTCCAATGGGGTCTTAAGGAAATAGCCCTAAGAGCTGGAGTTCCACTATGGCTTAAGACCTACTATGGCTGGCTGACTGCAGGCTTGCAAGAAAAAAGTAGAACTGATCTGTGGTTAAAGAGAGGAAAAATTGAGAGTCGGGTTATAGACATCTAAAAGGTAGCCCAGTTAATATCAGTTTTGGAAACCACCATCCACCTTGGCTCAACCACGTGCAAATCAGTGGTATTACCCCATCACCATCTTTCTTGGGTCGGTTCACCAACTTACCGCCGCGACAAGATTAACAGAGCCCTAACACCTGGGGTTGTCTGTTTCCAACACAGTGTCCTTCTCCCCAGACCAGACGGATAAAGAACACCCTTCCTTTCTCCTCGGAACCCAGCCCCCAGCCTTACAAAATGCATACTCACCCCTGCCATTGGGATAGACAAGGTAACTCTGAGGTGTTCTTAAAACGTGTTGTTTAAAACCCATAATGTCCCCGCCCCCAAAACCACGCGCTTTCTTTTTGGGGGCAGAAGTAATGCCATTTAAGGAAAAAGGGTATACCCTCCAAGTTTCTCTGAAGGGGAAAAACGTTGGTGAAATCATTTGGGTGTCAGGACTTTTCGACCGGATTTCCTCCGGAGGATTTCCCAGTTGTTGAATGAGGGTGGCCAGTGGAGTGTCGAGTATCAGGGTCCATCCCCCCACCTCATCTGAGCCTCTGGGCGCAGCCCGAAATAGCCCTCCCGCGCAGTCCCGCTGTGGCTTTCTCTCGCCGGCACCCACGTGTCTCTATTTACCCTACTCGGGTTACCAGCGCTATCGCCTGCAGCTGGCCAGGAGATCTGATAAAGCGCTTTCCACCCTCCCTAACCGGTGCCCGATTTCCGCCGCTTCTCTACTAGGGCTCGCCTTTCTTCTGCATAGATTGAAGGCCTGATGTAGGCCCCAACTAACCCCAAATAAAGTTTTGTATTTTTTAAGTGAAGGGGTGCAGGCAGTCGAGCGGAATCTGTCCTCTTGGGGCGGCTGGGCTCCGCGCGCCCACAGCTTTGTGCAGCCTGCGCTGGGGCTCCAGTGGCTGCAGGGACTTGGCCCCGCACCACCCCCGCAGAGCCGGCGCGCGCCCACTCCACGGGCCGGCTTTGCGCGGGCCCTGCTCCACGGCGGTTGGGACCGCCCCGCCTGCCCCCGGCCCACGCCCGCCTCTCCTTCCTCCCGCCTCTGGCTCGGCTCGTCTAAGCCTTTGGTGGTTTAACGCACTTTTGCAGACATGTACCGAGAAAGATAGCGGGTGTACTTTGTTTTCCGTCCTACGGATGATTTCCCAGTAGTACTGTTCAGACCTCGCTTTAATTCATTGCACTCCTCACTCCACCAAAAAGTCCGAAGGCGAAACGTTATGGGTTAAAGGAAACATTTCCTGCCTGTAAACCAACCGCTTGGCCACCGAACCCCTAAACTGATGACTGGGAATAAGTTTCCCTGCACATCCCTCCACCTCCGATCCCGCACACCCACCGAAAATATCAACCAGGGATCCAGCCCTTCCCCAACGCCCCTACAGACAAGGGAACTACTCCGGAGCAGTCACCCGGGACTGCCGGCGCCTTGGCTCCCTCCCTCTCTGCGCTTCTCCGAGACCCACCACGCCTCTCGGGAACTTGGGGCAGCGGCCCGCTCACCTCGTGTCCGTTGCTGGCGGGGATGATTTCGGACTCGTTAACCAAGGAGGACTTGATGTCGGCTAAGTCGCCTTCCTCTTCGGGGTGACTGATCTCAGCGAAGATCTTCTCCTTCTGGGGATCGCCCTCGTCCTTGAAAGGGATCATCTCGTCCGTGGCGCAGAGTTCCGGGTCCCCCCCGCCGCCGCCGCCTCCCCCAGAGAGTTGGGGCATCCCGACGAATCTGTAATCTCCGCTCCGCTGTGGGAGCACCCGCGGCGACAGCAGGAAAGAGAGGGGGGTCAATGCAAGGGTGGGGGGAGGGAAAGGAGAGCTGGATGCGTGAGGGAGGACTGCGGGCGGAAGCGAGGCAGGCGAGCGCGGGGCCGCCGGCCGGCAGCCGGAGCAGCTGCGGCGGCGCCCAAGCTCTGGCGGCCTCCCGCGCTTTCCCGCTTCGCGGAGATAGACGCCGGCGCCCGCCTCTGAGGCCGAAGGGCACGGGACTGCGAGGGCAGCCGCAGCTGGCGCCTCTGGGGGCGTCTGCGCGGCTCCGCGCGCGCTGGGCTAGCCTGCCCTGGCCCGGCGGGCCACCCCACGCTCCCCGCCGGCCTGTGTGCGCGGAAGACACCGGTTCTGGAGGGGTCAGCACACCCCAGAGAACAGAGAGTCCGGCGGCGCTGCTCCGCGCAAACCTCCCCACCGTAGATTCCTCGGATGCCGATTTAGTAGTTTGTTTTCCGATGAAGGAGAAGCGAGCTGGGCCAAATGGCTCCGTTTGCCCCAGCGGAGGTTTAAAGAGAATCAGAAGATAATGAAAAGTCCACTTCCTGAAGGGTAAAAAGATAAAGTAAAATAAAGAGCCACCGAACTGGAAATGTCCGTTTTAGAGCTTCTTATTTGCTTCCCTTTTGCTTCGGTTTTCCTTCTTGCGGAGCATTTAATCTGCTGGAAGAGGGGGAGGAGGAGGAGGCGGAGGTGGAGGAGGAGGAGGAGGGGAAGAGAAAGACCAGAAGTTTGCCAAGAATAAAGTTTGCCGGCGAGCGCTGGGAAAAGGCCTTAGAGGGCTCGGCGGGGTCTTGGGGAGTCACAGCAGGAGCCTCGGGCCCAAATGCTTCTGCCCGGAGCTCGAGCCGACACACACACAGCCCGATCCCTCTTTGTTCCCAGCTCGAGTTTCTCAGCCTGGCTTGCTGGCTCTCACTCGCCGCTCTCCACGCCTCCGCTCTGTCAAAGCAAAGAGCTGCTTTGCCCCACGGTCTCGCCCGGCCGACGGGAGGGGTAAACCCTGAGCGTGATCGCTGGCGAGGCTCCGGGCGCGTCCTGGCCCCTCGGCCCAAGACCTCACCGCCCGGGTCCCTCCTCCGCGCCCTGCCCCGCAGGTGAGCGCAGCACCTCCCCACCGCTTCTCCTCCTCCCGCGCCTCGGCGGCGCTGAAAAGCTACCCACATGCGTCGCTTCTCCTCCCCCTCCCCTCCCCCGCCTCCCGCTCTCCTTGGCTGCCCGCTGGAGTGTGTGGAGGTGGGGGGGCAGACGGCGAGAAGGAGGTGGTGATTGAGGGCTTCCCCCCCCCCCTATTGCTTTTCCCAGAGCCTGTAGGACGAGTCCTAGTTTGGGGGTATGGGTGTGTGTGCGTGTGCGCGTGTGTCCGCGCGCGCGCCACTGGAGGGAAGGATCAGGCAACTCCTTGAAGGAAGGAAGGACCAGGCGCTGTTTGTAACCCACGGGGAGGCACTTTTTCCCCCTGCGTGAAATTGACAAAAAAAACTCTGCTAGAATGGCTTAACTTCATCTGGGTATGTTGCCCACACGCGCCCACTCCTCGTCCTCTGCCAGTCTCTCTCCTCCACCTCTTTTCCGCCTCCCACTCTCCCTCCGTGGCTCAGGCGGGGGGAAAAGATGAAAGAGAAAGCCGCCGCCGCTGTGATCCACACCACATTGATAGATGCTCTGACAGAGGGGATGAGGCGGGAATTGGGGACTGAGAGAAGGAAAAGGGGAAAATATAACTAACATTGCTCACCTAATAAGCGAGAACAGCAGCAAGAAAAATAAAGAAAAGAGAGCTGAGGCTTTACTAAACATACTATCACACATGCCCGTTGGAGACAAGGGATGAGGGAACACACGCTAATGAAAATAAAATCTCCACGCTTACCGAGAAAAATGGGACGAAGAAGGAACTGAAGACTGGATCTTAATTATCGCTTTTAAACAGTATCTCTTTCTTTGCGTCTTCACTATGGGATGCAGGGAGAGTTAACTCAGATCTCTGGAGGGTGTTCGGATATATACGCAGCAGTATGTAGATACCTCCTAGAGAATGAAAAGACAGCGCAAGAAGGGAGAAAGGAAGGTAAAGGAGAAGAAGAAGAAATAAAACCTAGGAGAGTGAGCCAGAAGAGGGAGGGAGGACAGGGCAGTCTCTGGCACCCTGGACGGTGCGCTGAAAGGGATCCTTGAGGATGCAAATCCGAATCCAACCTCAAAAATTCCCCAAGTCTTCACCCTCTCTTTGATGCATTTTGTACAAAGACAGGACTTTTAAGGAGATGCTTTGTGAAATTTACAGTATAAGTGTAGCTGAAGTTTGAAAACACATTACATTTTGTCCCTTGGCTCTCAAATCCCCAGTTAAAAATCCAGGCAAAATTATTATACCCAATGAAGTTGCCATCTCTAAAACCTCAGAACAGTAAACAGGGGCCAGGAATAAATGTATCTCCATCTCCCTGAAATTGAAAATAAGGAAAACACTACAGAATCAGACTTCAGTTCTTCTATATATGAACGATCAAACAAAGATCACTTTTCTTTTCCTAAGGGTGAAATTGTAGGCTACTGGACATTGTATAAGTAAAGATTTTTTAACAGAGATTTAAATGAGCGTCTAAAACTTTCCTGATAACCACTACTTTGAGGGGGGCATGAACTGGAAAATAGTTTTTAAAATTACCATTTAAAGGGTTCAGTTGTCCCACAGAAGATGGCCAGTGGTCACATGTAGATTCTACCTGGTACCTTTGGGCACAGTCAGAAAAGTAAAACAGTTTTACTTTTAAATAGCTGACAATGTCTTAGACAAGAAAAACAAAAATAATATTCTGCTACATGGTGTTTGTAAGGTAATAATAAGTTTGGGAAGATATCCAATTTTTGGTTTTGGGATGTTATGTAACTTCCACTGAAGTTAGGCACCAGAGCGGATCAATGTCCCAGAGATGTGAATGTGTAGCTGTGTCAGACATTTATAGCCCCTTTTGTAAAATCAATATGGCAAAACAAAGTCAAAATTCCTCCTATAACTGCCAATTTGACTGATAGGAAAAGAACTGGAAGATGCAGTTTCATCAAAGCAGCCAGAGTAGACGTTCCTTTTCATCAAACTCCGGAGGGGGAGGCTGCACGCAGAATGGCCAGAGGGTATTTTCTGGAAGCCAAGGAGAGATTAAATGACGACTCCTACATCCCCCCTGTTTAAGTGTTGCAACTAATTCGAATTCCCATTTTCTCCTTCATGTTAATTATCCGGACTCCCTGAATCATTTGGAGCTCAGCTCCAGGTGTCCTGGAGATTAGCAGCTCGAGAGAAGATGGGAATTTTTGGAACAATAACTAGTGGGAATTGTTTACTAGAAGGGCTGAGGGTAGGTGGCTGCGTTTGGGATTTTCCTGTAACCCTCTTCTTTGGAAACATTGTTTCTAACGAAATCACTTAGCGCCTGGCTCTATTTGCGTGGCTGTTAAGTTACGGTGTGCGTGTATTGACTGTCTCTAGCATTGTTGCAGATTTTCTGATGGGCTGTTCTTAAAAATGGCTTTATTAAAAATCAGGCGCCCCCCCCCCCTTTTTTTAAGCTGTCAGGAAAGGAGGTTGACATTCCCACGTGAAGTCTGTCTCTCCTGAGGAAAAAAGCGGGGGGTGGGGGGTGGGGGGCGGCGCGGTAATCCCGGGAAGAGGTTCCTCCCTTCCCATAGGTTCGGTGTAGCTCCTGGCACAGGCATTCCGGTAGCCAGGCAGTCTCTTCTAATTGGAGTGGGGGTTACTATTAACACAAACAGCCGCCTCTTCGGGTGCAGCGAGTGGGATCCTAGGTCCGGGATGTGGTGGGTGCGGCGCAAGAGAAGCACCGCCGCCCCCTTGCCTCGGATGTAGAGGCAGGTTGTTGTGTGAACTCGAGCGAACGACTGGAGGTTGGCTGTTGTAGGTTCGCTCCTTCAGGATGTGGGTTTCAGGGGGCGTTTTGATGTGATTTAATTCCGACCGTGAAACAATTGCTAGGGCTGGCAGGATAGCTGTTGGTTTTTCCCCTCCTGGTGGCTTGGGTTGGTTTTAGTTTGGGAGCGAATTTGTTTTATATCAACACTTCCTTCTGCACCGGGCGCCTTCGCCCGGGTTGCGCTTAGGGGTGAAGCGCCCATTCCGCGCCGGAACCCAGGCTAGAGGGCAGCGGAGCCTGGTCTCGCCGCCCCCGGGGTGAGCGAAGACCAGCCCTACCCCAACCCCCACCCCCGCTCAGGGGGCAGGGGATCCCGGACAGTGACCCATACCCACCCCAGAAGACCCCTCCCCCCAGGCGACATTGCTGCCAAGTAAGTCAGCTACCGACAATCCAGTGAGTCCTTAATTACAGGGACCAGAGAAAAGCACGGTGCCCCTCACAGCTCTCTCCGCCCCCTCGGTACTAACCCCCCGCCCAGGCCCCGGGTTTTCCCTTTGTGTGGCCTGGACTCTCTCCCAGCGGCAACTTTTGTGGGATCCCAAAGGAAGGAGGTGGCGGGGGCCTACGGAAGAGGATGCTCGCCGAGAGAGAAGCAAGGCATCAGGACTAGAAAAACGAATAATGTGACTTTGGGGGGCGGAACTGTGACTCCCTCGATTTGCCACTTCAGTTTCACCAGGAGACTAAAGCTGTGGGCATCTTCAGTTTAACGGACGTCGTGGAAAAGGAGAGAAGGGGGCGAGGGAAATGGTAGTTTGTGTCCCACGGGGCTCTTCCGCCTCTTCTTGCCTCCTCCTAAGACAAACAGACTCAACCCCCTACCCTCCAGGGTAACGGAGAACTCGTGGGACCGTGAAAATGTCGTTCCCAAATCCGGCCAACTGCGGACGCCGGGCTTCCGCGGGGCCGGCGCCCGTTGGCGTCTGCAGCTCCGCACAGCCTCGCGGGGCTTGAGCCCAGCGGGGTCTGTCTAGCCCTCGCGCCCTCCGCTGGCTCCTCCCAAGCTAGGTGGTGCGGGTGAGCCCCGGTCCCCGCCTCGCAGGGCAGAGGCCCGAGGAGCAGCCGTCCAGCGGGTCGGGTCCTCCCGCCACCCGCGAGGGAGGGCCACAGTACACCCTGCGCTCTGTGGGCTTTGCCAACCGGAGGCCAGAGCTTCGGTCCCGACGCTGCCCAGAGCGAGAGGAGTCAAGCCGGGGTGATTGAGGGCAGTAACGAGGGGACCTGGGACAGGCACAGGAGAAGGGATCGAGCCAGAAAGAGCCTCGCCACACGCCCTCGTGGTACGGCTCCGCTACGGGAACCCGAGCTCCCTCGCAGAGCTCGGCGTCACTTCTGGACAGGGGATGCCCGCAATGGAGGTGGGCATTGGAATAAATTTGCGGGCCTCGTTTAGTAGGCCGGACGTGACATTCTTTTCCCTCCTTTCTGAAAACTTTTCTCAGGAGCCTTAACTTGGCCTGGGCACTGGCCTTGGGAAGCCAGCGGTAGGACTGGGGCGGAAGCCCGCCCCTAGGGCCCCTCTCCGCAGAGGGTCCTCCATCCCCCTCCATCCGCCCCCGGGCCGGGGACGCGCGCAGAAAGGCCGCCCGCGCGCTCCAGCCGCGTCTTATATCGGCGGAGGGCGGCGCCTGCGCAGGGCCCGGCGCGGCGGCGCGGCCTTTGAAGTCGCGGCGGCTGCGGCTTTCATCCTTTCTTTTTTCCCTCGCAGGCCCCTTTGTGTGACTAAATTTGGCAAGAATATGGATCCGAGCCAGTCTTTCCACGTGTGCTCCCAGCTCCCAGCTGAGAAGGCCAAGGGTTCTCTTCCGGGTAAGGAGACAGGGAGAAAGATCAAAGAGTTTGGGGAGCTGGATCTGAAATGTGAATTGAAAATAAAAATCAAGCCTGGACACATTCCAGTTTCTAAAGCAAAACCAACCCTCTGCAGAGGCTGTCTCGCTATGGCGCTCTTTTTCTCTGCTCCCTTTTGGTCTCTTCTCTTTCCCGCAACCGTTCTTGAGCACATGGAATAAAATAAAGAGAACATAGGGAAACACTTAGTTTCTCCAGATTTTGCTTCGCAGTAATTTTATTAGGGAAAATTTCTTATAATTACCGTTATGTGAAGCCGAATTTCTTCAGCCGTAAATATTGCCTTATTTCAGCATGCTTCGCACTTTTCTTCTGCAAGCCACATTTGCGGA